AAAAAAAAAAGTTGCCGAGGGATATGATTTTTAGAATGTCATCCCATTTTAGTGATCGACTTTGTTGAGAATTTATCAAAATTTGTGTTGGAATAAAATTTTCTTTTAAGGGGACTATTGTTTGTCTCAAAAAGTCTTTCACTAGTCTCACGTAATTTTTTGGCTCTGCGCCTCTTTGTCTTTGCTGAACTTGATTAACTGAGTCGTAAGGTTGCAATCTTACTATTAAATCGAACGTATTAAATATTCATACTGCCACTTATGAACCAATATCCTATTTGGTCAAGCTTCTAAAATCAACTTATTTTGAAAAGTGCTTTTCATAAAGTACTTTTTGTAGAAAGCAGTTTGTATTTGACTAATTAATTTGAAAAACACTTTTGAGCAGCAATTAGTGTTTGGCCAAGAAAGTTTTTCTAAGTGTATTTTTCTCAAAAGTGCTTTTGGGAAGAAGCTGCTTTTTTCTGCTTGTCTAAAACTGCTTCTACTCAAAAGCAGTTTTTCCCTTCTAAAAGCTTGGCCAAACACCTTAACTTTGAGAAAAGAGCACTTTTGGCAACAAACAAAAACACCTTTGGCCCAAAAGAAGCTTGGCCAGACAGGCTATAAGGTCCCATCTTAATACTTTTTACTGTTTGTCTTGCACATTCTTCAACAGTTATTACTTCGTTCATCCCAATTGGTTTGGCATTCTTTTCTTTTTCGTCTACCCGTAGAGATAGACATCTTTATAAATTTAGGAACAATTTAATTTTCATGTTCCCATTTTGCCAGTGACTTGATCTAGGCTCCACTAGCTACAAAAACTTAAATAGTTTGGTTCATTGGGCACTTTGGTATTTTATGCATATGTGTCAAAAGCCTTCTTTTCTTCCTTAAACTCGGTGTATAGTCAAGCACCGCAAAACAAATTGGGTGAAAAGGGTAATTGCACAGACTTGGGTTATTACGTTTCTCTTTGATCCTTGGATATTTCCTGGATAAATGGTTGAAACGAAATTTCACGTAGAACCCCCCACCCTTTGAAAACCCTTTTCCTATTGGAGATCTAGGGATCTCTTCTCTTCTTACGCTGGATGTTATTGTCACAAAGGGAAGCTTCTATTCATTTCACCTGGTCTGCTTGCAACTAATTTGCACCTCTCTGGGTTTTATCTGTTAAAAGGGTGACACCGGAGTGTGACTGAATGGAGTGACTTTTTTGTATCTGTTGTCAATTCAGGTAGCTGTTGCTCTCTCACATGCTGCCATCTTGGAGGAATCAATGAGGGCTCGGGATCTTCTTATGGAGCAGAATGTAGCTCTTGATCTGGCTAGAAGAGAAGCAGAAATGGCTGTTCGTGCGCGTAATGATTTCCTGGCTGTTATGAATCATGAAATGAGAACTCCTATGCATGCAATAATTGCACTTTCATCTTTGCTACAAGAAACGGAGCTGACACCGGAGCAGCGTCTGATGGTGGAAACAATCCTTAAGAGCAGCAACCTTTTAGCAACGCTCATCAATGATGTCTTGGATCTTTCAAGGCTCGAGGATGGAAGCCTTCAACTTGACATTGGGACTTTCAATCTTCATGCTCTCTTCAGAGAGGTAAGCCTACTATTTCTGTTTACATGCATGTTCTAGATTATTTGAGAAGAAGAACTATGAAAAGAAGTTCTAGATCTGTTAAATATTTTACTTGTGATTTCCAGTTTTCCAACATGTTATGATAGAAACTATCGACTGATTCAGCTGTCTGCTTATTGCTTTAGGTCTTTAACTTAATCAAGCCTATTGCATCTGTGAAAAAGATGTTTGTCACGCTTAGCTTGTCTTCCGATCTGCCGGAATTTGCTATTGGAGATGAAAAACGGCTGATGCAAATTCTTTTAAATGTTGCTGGCAATGCTGTAAAATTTTCAAAAGAAGGCAGTGTGTCAATTTCTGCTGTTGCTGCAAAATCAGAATCTTTAAGAGATCCTAGAGCTCCCGAATTTTTCCTTGTGCAAAGTGAGGATCACTTCTATTTACGTGTACAGGTATGTTTAGAAGTTTATTTTCATGCTTGATATTTAATATATGGTGATTTTAAATGGTAGTTTCTCTATTTATTTTTTTGAGATGGTGATTTTATTACTATCTTTTTCCTGTAATTTAGGTAAAAGATACAGGATCAGGGATTAATCCGCAGGATATCCCCAAGCTATTTTGTAAGTTTGCGGAAAACCAGGCACTAGGATCTAAAAGTTCCGGTGGCACCGGGCTTGGCCTTGCGATTTCTAAGAGGTATCTCACTTCATTGGTGTTTGTTTTGAATGGGTTTTCAGTTTTCCATGATCCGGAGAACTGCTCAAGATTGAATTTTCATTCTTGGCTGATGCACATTCCTTGGAAAATTTGTTCATTGTATGTGGAGACACTTACAGCAGTGATTATTTGTCTAACGTATTGTTTTAATGGCCTGGATCAGGTTTGTTAATCTTATGGAAGGTCATATTTGGATCGAAAGTGAAGGTCTTGGCAAGGGGTCTACTGCTATCTTTATTGTTAAACTTGGGATTCCTGGACGCTCAAATGAGCCTAAGCTTCCCTTTATGCCCAGATTGCCTGCAAATCACATGCAGATGACTTTTCAAGGACTAAAGTTTTGGTAGATGTTATCAGCGTTTGTCAATTAAGTTATATTTGAGGGCGATGTTTTATGGATTTTGAGCCAATATGTTGGGAGCTTTCTTCTTTACTCTCCATCCTTTTAGGACTCAGAGACAAAAGAGAACCAAAACCCATAAGAGAGGTTTATGGTTGGTTTCATTCCATACTGCTAAATATATTATATCCTTGAACCAACATTTTATGTCTTCACATCTTCTACTTTGGTAATAGGTATCATTTGAACAAGCACTTCATATATATTAACAAATCATCTAGGATGTCATAAGACAACAAAACAAGTGAATAAAAAGACGAAATAAGTTATATAAGTGTGTTAGTCGTTCTCTCCAAATCTGTGAATGATAATCTTTTTCAATATATTATTTTCATATTTATTTAGGTCCGCATCATTTGTGTGTCCGCTACAGAGTAGACCGATCAAATTCCTTCTGGCAGTGGTGGCAGTGCAACGTAATGCAAAGAAAGTTAACCAAAATTAAGCCTTTTATCATGTTACAATATTTTCCTCTTAGTCTTTAAAGATTATCTTTGAATACGTGCTGGCATTTGTTTCGTTATTCTATTTTTACCAATCTGTGATGCTTTTTTTTTGCTTCAAGGATANTTTAAATGTCACAAAGTTTATACTTGAGGAAGATGCAACGTCTTTGATTTATCTTTACATATGTTCTGGTCATCTATTTTGTATTTTATTAAAATTTTGTCCAAAACGTTGNGGTACAAAGATGTTATGGTCCACTAACTAACACCTTAATATGCCGTCTGTGCCTTCTCTAACTGTTAAGATAGAAATGGTCATATGTTTATCTCAAAAAA